TTCAGCAAAAGGCACGCTTAGCAAATCATAAGAACAATTTAGGATAATATTAGGTGGATAATTTTGGACGCTTACTACATAATTAAATGTGGCACGCTTACCAAAAGGCTTCTACAGTGGATAGACAAATATGGATATTCATAAAAAAAAAAAATATTGTATGTGATGAGTTGAGCAGACAATTTTACAGTAAATGGCCAACTCTCAATATTTACCATATTTACCACATATCTGGTAGATTAAGCTCAAGGTAAGTTAGGCTCAAAACGGGCTAGGCTTAAAGTTTTAGAGTGGTGAGCAGTTTTGAATTCTCACCTCAAAAGACATCTTTGTCTCAATATTAAAATTTGGTGGTTCGCTAGCTAGCACGTGAGAAGAAATAGAGAGTCCAAGATAAAGTTGCTTTGAGTTAGGGATTTGACTTGACAAGAAAGCTTGAAAAAATATCTTTTAAGGAGGGAAGTAAAATGATTTTTTTTAGTACAACATGTGAGGGTGGGGGATCGAACTCACAACCTCTTGGTTGAAGATACATATCAATTACTGTCTCGCTTTGACAATGGAAATAAAATGGTTGACACTTGAAAAGCTTTATATCTCATTGAATGCATTGAAAGCATTAATGTTTTTTTTTCTATCTTTCATTTTTTTTTTGTTGAGGTTAGTTTTTTTGTGTTTCAAGTTTTTTTTTTCTTCTTTTCTTCTTCTTATTGTAATTATTTTGTTTAATGAAGAAGCATGGACGAGTTTTCATATATTGGATGACTCAAAGATGAGCAATGAAGATCTATGTTTGGTAGATAGTGCAACTACGCACACAATACTGAAAAGTATAAAATATTTTTCTAAATTGACAATGCTGGAAGCAAAAGTCAATGCAATATCAGGTTCTGCAAACTTGATTGAAGGTTTTGGAAAAACAAATATTATTTTGCCTAGTGGAACAAAATTTATAATTGACAATGCATTATTCTCTAGTCAATCAAAGAGAAATCTATTGAGTTTCAAAGATATACATTGCAATGGTTATCATATTAAGACTGATAACAAGAATAATATAGAACATCTCTGTATTATATCTATTATCTCACATGACAAACGTATACTAGAAAAGCTACATACTGTAACTTMTGGGTTATATTATACTCATAGACGAATAATTGTATGCAACAATGAACCTGAAGTTCATGAATCCAGATATATTTACTATTTGACATGACCGATTGGGTCATCCAAGGTCCATAATGTAGGGGTGTTCACGGGTTGGGTTGGGTCGGGTTGGAGGTATTTTTGGGACCAACCCGAATTTTCAGATTGGGAATTTGTGGGAACTGTCGGGTTGTAAAACGATGGCCAACCCAACTCAACCAACCCAACCCAATAAATTCGGGTTGGGTTGGGTTGTCGGGTTCTTTTTTTTTTAATTGGTTAATTAATTTACTTTTGTTTTGTTTATAACATGGACCAAAAAAATATTGAAAAATCAAAATCTTAATTTAAGCACAAATTAATTGAAACCAACATTACAAATTTTAAAATTTTACATTATCCAAAGTTTATCTAAAGTCCAAATCTAAATTGCAACCAACATGTAAGCCCTAATTCAACAATATTAAAAGCTTAAACCTTATTATAGAGAGAGAAAGATGAAGGAGAGGAAAATGAAATTGAAAGTGTTAGAAAAGAGAGAGAATTAAAGATTCAAAATGAAGAGGATTGAATTGAAACCTAAAATCAATTATTGAGATTTAATGAAATGGATGGATGAGATTGAATATAAAAAATAAGATTTTAATTAATAATTATTAATTTATTATATATGTAATATTAGATTATTAGTAATATAAATAAATAAATAAAAAAACTTATAATCTCAGGTCGGGTCGGGTTGACCCGAGATTTTCAAGGGTCAACTCGAGACCTGACCCAACCCCGTCGGGTTGGGATTTTTCCAACCTAACCCAACCCAATGTTAGATTCAACCCAACCCAACCGGTTGGGTTGGTCGGGTTCGTCAGGTTATCGGGTTCCTTGAACACCCCTACCATAATGATGAGAAGAATTATTGAGAATTCACATGGACATCCATTGAAAAACCAGAAGATTCTTCGATCTAATGAATTGTCATGTAATGCTTGCTCTCAAGGCAAATTAATCATTAGATCATCACCAACTAAATTGGGGACATAATCACCTATATTTTTAGAACGAATTCGTGGTGATATATGTGGAGCTATTAATCCATCAAGCTGACTCTTTAGATATTTTATGGTGCTAATAGATGCATCGAGCAGATGGTCACACATGTTGAAATCTTGCATTTGCAAGACTACTTGCTCAGATAATTAAGTTACGAGCACAATTTCCTGATTATATAATTAAGAGCATTCGTCTTGATAATGCAGGTGAATTTACATCCAATCATTTAATAATTATTGTATGGCAATTGGGATAAGTGTTGAACATCTTGTACCTCATGTTCATACACAAAATGGTTTAGCCGAATCATTTATAAAACAACTGCAGTTAATTGCTAGGTCATTAATTATGAGAGCTAAGCTTCCTACATCTGTATGGGAACATGCTATTTTGCATGCAACATCACTTGCACGGATTAGGCCACCACAACGTACTAAGATGAACCATCAAAGGCGGTTGAGAATATATGTTGGTTTTGATTCTCCATCAATCATTAAATATCTTGAGCCCCTGACAGGTGATGTATTTACTGCACAATTTGCTAATTGTCGTTTTAATGAGACAAATTTTCCAACATTAGGGGGATAAATTAAGAAGTTGGAAAAAGAAATTACATGGAATACATCTTTATCGTCTCATTTAGATCCCCGTACAGATCAATGTGAACGTGAAGTTCAGAAAATAATTCATTTACAAAATATAGCAAATCAATTACCATATGCGTTTATAGTGTTAAGGATCTCACATTGATAAAAGAAGGGATCTTACATAGGTTTATAATAGACATGGGCTACTCCTCTCATTGTCAATTGATTTTGAGATGGAACCCCATGAATATTAATATATAGATGCTAGGAAAGTGACTAAGTCATAAATTCCGGCGCAGATGCTCCATTAATGAGTATGCGATATACCAGAAGCGTGGGAGATCAATGGGTTCCAAAAATAAAAATCCTCGAAAAAGAAAAGTAGTCAATAATCAAAATGACTTGATTGGGAATGTGGATATTCTAGAAGAAAACCAAAATATGACTACTCATAAAAATATCGAGGAATGTCAAGTATCTGAAGATAATAATGAGATTTTCAATAAATTACATCATGACAGAAAAAAGATGGAATTGAGCTAATGTAGTTATTGACAACATATTTGCTTATAATGTTGCTCTTGACATTGTATCTGAAAGTAAGGATCTTGAACTAAAATCTGTTGAAGAATGTCGACAGAGAAAAGATTGGCTTAAGTGGAAAGGATTGAGCATTTAGCATATGAGATATTTGTGCATCAATCAACTTATACATGAAAAATTCTAAAACGATTTTATATGGACAATGCACATCCATTGAACATCCCAATGGAAGTTTGTTTACTTGACGTGAATAAAGATATATTTCGACCTCGAAAAGATAATGACGAACTTCTTGGTCTTGAAGTACCATATCTTAAGTGCAATTGATGCACTTATGTATCTTGCTAATAATACAAGACCAGATATAACATTTTCAATTAATTTATTAGCTATATATAGTTCTTCTCCAACAAAAAGACATTGGAATGAAGTTAAGCATATGTTCTGTTATCTTCGAGAAACAACTGATATAGGCTTGTTTTATTCAAACAAATCAAATTTTGATCTAGTTGGTTATGTAGATGACGAATATTTATCTGATCAACACAAAGCTAGATCTCAAACATGTTATTTGTTCACATGTGGAGGAATTGCTATATCATGGCGATCAGTGAAATAAACCATAACAACTACCTCCTCAAATCATGCTGAAATTCTTGAAATTCATGAGGCTAGTCGAGAATAGGTATGACTAAGATCAATGACTCAACACATTCGTAGAACATGTGGCTTGTCTTCTAATAATCTTCTAACGATATTATACGAAAATAACACAACATGTATAGCCAAAATCAAAAGAGGATATATTAAAGGAGATAGAACAAAACATATATCACCTAAGCTCTTCTACACTCATGATCTTGAAGAAAATGACACCATCAATATTCAACAAATTTGTTTGAAGAATAACTTAACAAATTTATTTACAAAGGCATTACATACTGCAACTTTTGAAAGATTGGTGCGCGACATTGGAATACGACGACTCAGAGATCTTAAATGACGTTTTCATGAGGGGGAGCAAGATATATTGTATTCTTTTGGATTTGTTAGATTATATGAAATATGTACTATTTTTCTTCACCAAGATTTTTTTCCCAATGAGTTTTTTCCTAGTAAAGTTTTAATAAGGCATATTTTATATATACAATAGGCATCTAAGTGAGAGTATTATAAACATGATAAAAAATAGAAATATGAAAAATATTTATTTGTTAATTTAAATATTTTTTATGATTTTTCAATTTCTATAACTTTTACAGAAATATCCATCGACATCGACATTTTATCAATATTTCCATGAAATTGAGACTTCGACATTTTATTGATATTTCCATGAAATTGAGACCCCGATATTTCCATCGACATCGACATTTAAAACCTTGTAAAGCATGATGAAGACAATTGAAAAAGACCAACCAGCACACTTTATTTCAATTGCTTCACAATCGGCAACTCGAAAATGCAAGAACAAAAAGAGGATATAGACCATATGAGGAGATCTACTGATTGAACAATTTATTTAAACATGAAACGGTAGCCATTCTGATTTTTTTCATTTTTTTTTTCTTAGAGAAAAACCTTCTGATTTTATAAAGTTTCTTCGAAAAGGAAAAATGAAAAATGAAAAAAGAAAAAGAAAAAGAAAAAGAAAGCCAAAATATCAGCGTATAGGGGTTTTAGCAACGTCTTACCCTGAAGCGTGGCGGATGGGGAGAGCAAATGAAGGAACTTAAAACCTCCATCTCTACCAATTTGTTCGCCGATTCTTCAAATTTGAGGTGAAACTCCATTGCAGTAAACGCCATGGGAGGCACAGGAAGAACTCTCCTCTCTCTTTCAATCTCCACAAACCTCTTACTCATGTCTCGTGTTTCGCCTCCCAAATGCTTCCCACTCCTCAAAATTCCGAAACCCGTCAGAATTTTCTCAGGATTTAGGCCTCTTTGCTCTGCTACCGCGGACACGACCCCTACCGAGTCCATGGAAACGACCCAAGTGATTGAACCCTTGAAGCACTCTCTTCTGCTCGAGAGGCTGAGGGCCAGGCATCTCAAAGAATCTGCTTCTAAAACTAAGCAGGCGAGAAGTACGCTGTCACCGTCTGTGGGAGGTGCTGAGGATGAAATGAACAAGGCGGAGAAGAAGAAGAAGAAGAATTTGGTTGAAAGTTTTGAGGAACTGGGGCTGAATGAGGAGGTGATGGGGGCTGTGAGGGAAATGGGAATTGAGGTTCCGACTGAGATTCAGTGCATTGGAATCCCTGCTGTGTTGGAAGGAAAGAGTGTGATTCTGGGTTCTCATACTGGGTCCGGCAAGACTCTGGCTTACTTGCTACCCCTTGTTCAGGTGCTTTTAGTTTTTCTAATTCAACGGTATTTTTGTTGTGGGTTCGCTTTAATTCGTTGTACATTTAATTGTCTTCTAGTATTTTAAGCCTGGCTATGATGTCGTGCTTCATTGTGCTTCGTGTTGCCACTGTACAATGCTCTAAATTTAGAAGAATCTTTTCTGATAATGCCTCCTTCTACATTGATATTTGTGTTCCCTTTTGAACTCAATGGATTGCCTGATTCCACTTAAGCAAAGCGGTATAATCTTTTTCTTTATCTATTTTTCTCTCTTTGTGCTTGTAATGTAGATATTGGCTCTGGAACCTATTGGTGTGGAAGTTTATATATTGAGTAATCTGTGTTCCTTTATGGTCTGTCAGTTAATACATGCTATTCTGATTTGTTGATTTGTAGTTGTTGAGGCGGGATGAAGAATTATTTGGTAAATTAATGAAGCCCAGGCGTCCTCGAGCTGTTGTGCTATGTCCCACGAGGGAACTATCTGAACAGGTTAGCTTTATTCTTTCTTCTGATTTTATCATCTGCTAGAAGTTAAGATAGCAGACTAGATGTTTTCATTTAAACTTGTAATTAGTTATTGGTGTGTTATTTAGTCTGTTAAGCTGAGAGTTGAGATTAGTTTTGTTATTGTTATTTATCTCTGTATTAGACAATGGGCTGTAAATACCCTTTGTCTTTTGATCACTGAGTACCGAATATAATGAGAATACATTTGTTGATCATCTCTCTGGACTAATCCTGAAACTAGATATAATTCTCCAAGGTATCTCAGAGTTACTTGGTTTTACTTCATGTACTGGTATGCAAATTTATATTGTATCCATTTAACATCGATCAAATGATCTCCATAGGTTTTTCGAGTGTCGAAATCTATCAGTCATCATGCACGATTCAGGTCTACCATGGTAAGTGGTGGTGGTCGGCTAAGACCACAGGAGGACTCGCTAAGTAATCCAATAGAGATGGTGGTTGGGACTCCAGGACGAGTTCTTCAACATATTGAGGCAGGCAACATCGTGTATGGTGACATCAAATACTTGGTTAGATTATGGTTTTTATAACCTTCAAGCCAGAACTATTTAAGTTCCGTGTTATTTTTGTGCAGTTCATTTCTTGCATTAGTTTTGTATTTTTTTCTTTGCAATGTATACTTGTGCCTTCATGATTGTGATGCCATTTTAGTAGGTTCTGGATGAGGCAGACACTATGTTTGATCATGGATTTGGACCTGACATTCGCAAGTTTATTAGCCCGTTAAAGCATCGTGCCTCATCACATGAAGACCAAGGATTTCAAACTATACTGGTTACTGCAACAATGACAAAGGTATACTTAGATATTAATTTGACGTCATTGATTTCAATATGATAGATGTATTTTGTTTTATCCTGCTGAATGAGATTTTTCTTCAAATCAATGTATGGGTTGATATTTTAGATGTAAGAAAAACCCTAACCTGGACATGCTTAATTTGATGGAACCCTGTTTGTTGTTGTTTCTGTAGAAGGGCATTAAATGTTCTTTGAATGCTTTTGACAATGTGTTCTATATGCGAAAGTGATTTCCTTTTCTAGTCAATAGCCGGTAGATTTAATTACTATGCTGCACTTGTTTCAGTGTGGATTTTGGTTTTTAGAATTCTTGGTCTTGTATGGTCTGGCCATTGCAGGCAGTTCAAAAGCTGATTGATGAGGAGTTTCAAGGCATTGTGCACTTACGCACATCAACGTTGCATAAAAAAATTGCATCTGCTCGCCATGATTTCATCAAACTTTCAGGTTCTGAAAACAAGCTGGAGGCATTATTGCAGGTCTGAATATTATATTTATTTATTGGATGATTCTTAGTTGGCTATGGATGTACCCATAAATATTATAGACTCTAGTTCTCCTTATTTAGTTATTTGCATGAAGTTCATACTTGTGCTGTTGGCTTGTGGCCTTTGGATGCATCATTCTATTTTTCATAAATTTATGCGTATGTCCTCCTCACGTGGTTTGACTTAAGAAATAGGGAAATTCATACAGTTGTTGAAGAATTCCTAGTTTATGATAAGCTTCGAGAGGCTAGAGTTGGGAGATTGGAAAAAACCACTTCTGAGTTCTGACCACTTTATTCTACTCCATTCTGCTTGGTTCAAATGAGGTCTTCTACACTTTGTTTGGAGAACATATGGATGAGTCACAACCCAAGACGATAAAATTGTCGGTTAGGATACTGTCCAGCCAGCATGCACCAAGTGTAGAGGGTGAAATCGTTTTGACAAGAACGATTGATATATTTTCAATTTGCTAAAAATCTTTGACGGTTTGACATTCAGGAAGCAAAGAGATTCTATCATATATGATTTACCAGAAGTAGAAAAGTGTTTTCCAGGTCATGGGTTATCCTTGGTTCTGTGCTTTCCTGTGAACGAGCATCAGCAGAACATTACTCGTTTCTAGGATAGGGCCATCGGCTAAAGGGGATTGCTGGGTGGGTATTATTTTTCTTGATAATCATGGTGTCGAGTCTCACCCCTTGAATTATGCTCATGCCTGATTTCCACTAATCTTCAGAGGGGTTTTCCCTACCTGAAGTCCAACTCCAAGAGACAAGCTCTAGAAGATGAAGAGTTTTAAGTTATTAAGTTGAAGTTCTCAAGCAGGGACTTGAACCCAGGATCACAAATAGTATCTCCAATTATCCCAAGCTTTATATCTTTTATGCACCCTTGAGGGTTGCTGGGTGGGTATTCTTTGTAAAGGAAACAGACTTTCCATGATACTAAGAATACAAGCAAAATTAAGCAGGACTGCTATTTATTTTTTTTTTTACGAAAAGCCGAGCTTCCATGGAGAAAAATTAAAGAAAACAGAAGGGCATACAAAGGACTGTTATTAGGATAGGAGCTCATCCAAACATCCACCTCCACCCCCACCCCCAACTTCAATTGTTCATGATATCCTGTAAAGAGTATTTGCTAAATAAGGTTGATAAATAACTTCAAGAAGCTGCTATATGTTTAGTCACACCTAATCTCACTCCACTTTGAACATTTGTTTTCAAATATTCTCTAATTTCTTTCCCACCATATTTCCAAACGGATTGCTTTCACTAGTTTAGCCTAATCAATTTTTAGCAAATCCACATTATCTGCTTGGACTATTGCACTGTCTATCGGGCCTCATTTTTGGTTATTTTTGTGAGGATGCAGGTTCTCGAACCAAGTTTGGCTAAAGGGAATAGGGTAATGGTGTTCTGTAACACTTTAAATTCCAGCCGTGCTGTAGATCATTTTCTTGGTGAAAATCAAATTTCTACGGTCAATTACCACGGAGAAGTGCCTGCACAGAAGAGGTAATAAATTTACATGATGAACTGCATTGAAACATTATAAAATCTACCCTACTTAATGACGACAAGTTCTAGCTATTCTTCTGGCGTTGTTCAATGTGGCTTTTATAAAGTACTGGATTGTTGGTTGTTAGGCCCGATTGATAACCCTTTTGTTTTTAGTTTTCTATTTTTTTGTTTCTTCCCAATTCTTTTGGTATGTTTTTCACCCTTCTTAAAAATACATTTGAATTCTTAACCAAATTTAAAAAAAAAAAAAAAAAAAAAAGAACTACGTATGTTTTTTAGTTTTTGAGATTTGACTTAGATTTGAAAGTGTACTTAAAAAGTAGACAAAAGAATAACGAAACACATTAGCGGAAGTAGTGTTTATAAACTCAATTTCTAAAAACAGCCAAAATGGTTATTAACAAGGTCATAATCATCCAAGTTAAGATATTCGTTAAATTATGCTACTTGCTGTCCGTTCAAGTGATTTGTCTTCAAGCACCAAGAAGCAGATTTGAATCTGCAGCTAGATTTTCCCCTTCTATTGATTGTATCTGGAGAAATGTACTTCTAACCCTGAACTAAAGGGAAAAAGAGAGCAAAAGGAAGATTTTTTTTAGACCATAGTTATCATGGGGTTGTAGCATGCATGTCATAACCCAAGATTCTGACATATGTATATATTTCCATTCGGTTCTATAACATCGTATAACTGTAGTCATACCGTGTTTTGATAATCAGGGTCGAGAATCTCAAGAAGTTTAAGAGTGATGATGCAGATTGTCCCACATTAGTCTGCACAGACCTGGCTGCTAGGGGTCTGGACTTGGATGTGGATCATGTTATCATGTTTGATTTCCCTTTGAATTCTGTAAGAGTTATAATCTTTGATCAACTTGGTTTGCCAATTTATACACCATAATTTTTTGTGAGTCCACTATCATTTTCTCCCAATTTATCTCGTAAATGATACTTTGTTTCGCCTTCTAGATCGACTACCTTCATCGCACTGGAAGAACGGCTCGTATGGGTGCAAAAGGTTTGTTGCATATTCGTTAATTTACTTGATGCTTTGTAACTAACTCTGTTGTTTCAAGTGAACATGCCGTCTTTTCGTAGGTAAATAGGGGGGAAAATTACAATTATATTAGGTTTTGTGAGTCTATTTTAACTTTGAACTTTGGATTTTATCAAATATTAACTCAATGAGCTAAATACAAGCTTGAAGATTCTTTATTTGATGGATCAGCCACCTGAATTTTCTTTCTGCCTGTGTAGGAAAAGTGACGAGCCTGGTTGCGAAAAAGGATGCTATTCTGGCTACTCGCATAGAGGAAGCGATCCGGAAAAACGAGAGCTTGGAATCTCTCACTGCAGATAACGTCCGGAGAGACATTGCCCGTGATCGTATAACCGAGCAGAAAACAAAAACTGCGAAATTGGTCAGGGTTTCAAGTGAGAAAAGCAAAGCTAAATCATCATCAGCAGCAGCAACAACAAAATCTTCAAGTATCCGTTCACAGGGTTCATCTGGGAAAGCACCATCTCCAGCAAAGTCTCAGAAGTCCGCTGTTCGGGTTTCTAAGTCGGTAGATTCGTCTAGGAACAACCCGAGAAAACCATCTTCAGGATCGAAGAAGCCAATGGCTAGTAGCAGAAGGCGGCCTGGGATCGCCATCAAATCCACGGGTCC